ATCAATTCTTTACTTGTCTAACACATTTTATGTACGAAGATTTGTGTGACAGTGATTTGACAGCCGATCAGAACACAGAATGTATGGCGCACTTCTGATAAGGCCGAACATGAATACAACAGTTATGTAGTGTTATTTGTTGTCTTGAAGTGACTTTCGGGTTGGGGCCCAATAGCCCAGAATCCTTCAGCGTAAACACCCGATTATTTATGCTTGCTGAGTGTTTGTGGACTNAGCTCAATTCAGGGAAGATTGAGGGTATGCATGTGTTGTACAAATGGACACACACACACGAGAATGCATTTGATTCTACTCTCGTTTATAGGACCCCCTAAGTTCAGATTTAACTAACATCAGAAGTGATCCAAAAATTACCATTCTGGAAAGCCCAAATGGTCAAATCGACCACATCTCATCCAGCGTAATGACCTTACGGGGCACGTCACCTTGAGACGAAATAATCAATTATATTTCCACCAGACCCCTGAGCGCTTGCTTCCAGAATCAGTGGTGATTTATCCCAAATGTTGTCGAGATCGCATTAACATCTCTAATCAATACTCCTCATCAAAAACAACACGCATCCCAAGAGAATGAAAACATGAAAGGATTTTCTGCCAACCGTTTTATTTTCGTTTCAGTTCTTTGCGGCCTGATTGTCGTTCTGACATTGCTTATCAGTTCGGCACTGGTCTTCCGACACCAAAGACTCACGCGGCGACTGAAACGCGCACAGAATCGTGACGAGTATCTCATCGGTGCACCCTCCGTACCTGGGTCAGAAGCGGGAACGGGACCAACCGGTCCAGGTGGTGCGTTCGAAGGTCTAGACACAGCCGGCAGTATGGACATCCTGGCCGATTCTGCATTCTATCGCGCACCTGGAAGTGGCCCGCACGAGAGCTACAAACAAGCTATTATCCAGGATGGATATCAGAAATTAGCCAATGGTGCTGGGGCAAGCGGACGCTCCGGCACTCGTTCAGTTCGCGGTGTTGTTTCACCCTGGTCCTCAGCCAGGGGAATCGGTGGATCGATGAGGAAATCCCATGGCAGAAGTGGTACCGGTCCGAATTAATGACTGATATGCTATTTCCCACTCCACATTTACATCTCCGATAAAAAAATCTGTGTGCCTTTAATCCTCACTCAAACAGATGTGATTGAGCTATGTTTTGGTTGTGATCTTGTTGCATCGAGACAGCCAGAGACTCAGATTTGGAAGATATGGAGTTACAAAAGTAGGCAAAAATATAAAAACAAATTGGTCAGTTTTATCAATCAAGCCTGTATTTATGTCACATTTTGTTGTTTTCAATCTAAATGAAAGAGACTGGTAGGTAGGATATATGTTCAACTGCTTGCCGAAAGGTATAACTTGTTTGAAAAGGTTTCAGCAACAGTGGAAATAAAAGCTAAGGTGTTAATCACACGAGATCCATGAATGGAACGGATCTCGCTGAAAACCTTGGGCGACGTGCTCATGATTATTGAGGAAATCAGCTTGTCTTAGCCATGGCGAACGAAAAAACCAAAACAAAGCGTTAATGACAACTTTTCGACCCTCTTTGAAGGCCTTTCTCAAGTCGGTTAATTTCACGCTACAAACAATTATAAGGCGATGGGATGATGACATCATATAGAGCTCGAATGTGATTCGAACATACGTGTATGTGTGTGTTGGTGATCGTTCAACAGATGGTCGGGACGAGCGAAATTGGTTTGACTTTTAGGTCAAATAAAATGGTTACGTCATTGCACAAAAGGCGGTATTTAGGCTTGGGATGAAACCCTGGCAAAGAGACTGTTCAGTTCAGCAAACTGATACGAATGTGAGCTGAATCCCTGCTCAATGGTCTTCTAGCTGCAAACCTCAGAATTTTTTCTCAGGCCCTTAGCCTAAATAAATTTTGGAGCCCCGGGTGCGTATCCAAGCTTGATGGTTCAATCCTGACCGCAAATCGTGAGCCCGGGCGTTCAGCCGGTTAGATCGTAAACAAGTTCATGGATAGAAGATCGATGAATATTCAGTAGAAAAATTTGCAAAACGGTGATCATTAATTCAAAATTTTATATACTGGTACCTTTAGATATCATCGACGTGTTGATCAGATCCTAGTTCTTCGTGTACGTCATGAATGCTTGACCCTATTTACAATACATGACGATCGAAGCAGAAAAAAGAGCGAAAAACGATTGAGGGTGCGAGCAGGAAGCAACCGACCGAGATTTGCTCCGAATCACCTAAGCGAGTGGCAGGTTGAACGTATGGACTGAAAAGAAGTGGATGTTCATAGCGTACTGCTAACAAAACAGCTTTGCAGTGACTTCTAACACTTATGAATAAAACGAGATCATTGTTGGCAAAAGGTCTCGTTGAGGAGGGAAAATCTAAAAGGCGCCCAACGGTTTAGTGTTGCATTCGGAGATTCATTGGTAATCCTGCTATAACAAAGTATCAGAGATAACAATCATTTTCAATGCCGTTTCTTTTTTGTTTGGGAATCGTCACATCCTTGCAAGTTTGAGATATCACGAACACGGAAGTTATAACCATACCACGACATCGGAGTACCCGTATATTGGCTTCAAACCCATCGATACATCTGGTTCTACCGACGGCCATTGCTTATCATCAAGTAAACACCGAACGACTTCATGATCCATAAATGCCAAGCCAGTAGTGGTCCATTCTGATTGGGCAACTAATTTCTAACCGGTGAGCACGTCACTCAACCGGGATCGGACAGCAGTACCGCACAGAAGTCGAGTCCAGAATACAGGTCACAATATGTCAGTCGGAATTTCTATTTTGTGGGGCAACTGGAATCAAGCTCTGGAGCATAAATACACGCACACAGTCTCTCTCGCTTTGCTTTCGTTTCATGCATGCCCGTGCGCACCAGAGTGATGATCAGGATACGGCGAGTGGTAATGCATTTTAGGTACAGTTAGCTTTGTCCCCGAATGATTGTACTGCACAGTCATTCCAGGGCTATTTGTGACACTTTGATACAATGAATCACTTACTGACCGGATGTCAGGCAAATCACGTGCTCTCAATGATTTCGTTCTCGAGCGATTACAATCAGATTTATTCGAGAAAATAACGAGCGAGTAATGCGATAAAGCTGAACAGTTTGGGCTGATTCGCGGTTATAAACAGGAGTGGGTCAGTGGGCAGCAGGTCTCAAGTTTGTCCGGAGTGTTTTTGATCGAACACAATCAGGTAACCGGTGACAATTCATTCACGCGGTAATTATGCGAATCACTCTCGGTCAAGAAAGTTTGATCACCTGAACCAGTGTGTACAGAAGTGGATGACAATCGGTTTTTGCCAACAGTTTGTGAGAGTTGTTCTCAATATTGTCATCGAAGACTTCACTAAGGCTTTCAGTGGCTGGCTGGGTGTGAGGTTGATGAACTACATTTATCTCTCTTTATTCCACTCACCAGTATTAGCAATTTTCTTTCAATATTCGACCAAGATATTCCTGCTCGCAGTGTGCACTGCCTATACGATTCACATGCTGACCGATAATGGCCTCCCTAGATGTAGAAGCATTCCTACTGCACCACGGATTCCGTTAGGACCTCGAATGTGATGAATATTATTTGTTGTGGAAGACCGTTGTTGGTCGATATTGAGTCATCAGGAAGTCGAATCAAACGTGAAGTGTTCAGAATCACCTTACACAGTGAGTAACCTTGCACGGTTCTTACGCTTTTAGTTACTGTCTTTTGGTTGTCCATTTGGTCAGACAACGATAGTGATAATGAGGTATACTAAATATGCACAGAGATTGCGTAGATAAACATTTGTCAATATTCACGGGATTCAACCATATCAGTCAAAATTTATTTCAAAGATTTACATTCTCGTAAATTTGATTTCATCGAGTCCGGTTTTAACTAGTTTCAAAAAGAAATTTCGTCAGTTTGAGTAGCAGGATAAAAATCACCGTGGCCAATCATCTCTTGTCCCCAACGGTGTAATCATCTAAAAGAGGTTTATGGAATGAATTACCTAATCAGACTCCCAGCGCCCGTCTAAGAGTTTACCCAGTAAAATATCAAGGCATGATCCAACAATTTCTAGTGATGACTAAATAATGTATTCATTATCGATAATCTGAGAATAATACTGAAAACATTGTCAAGGGCCTCATCAAGTGATTTGAACTACAGTACCGCTCGATCTGCATGCATTCACTGACACATGTATTCCGAAATAGATCTATTTCCTTGGTGCCTGCATTTCACTGAGCACAAGTAGGGCCATGCAGCATGACCTCTCATCCATGTAATGACTTTGAGAGCCACTTATCTCAAGTTGTTTACTTCCGAGGCACCAAAGGAACACAACCTTGCACACCAGGTCCAACTATTAACCATCCGAAAAGAGAAAAGGTCGTAAACGAATATCGTGAATGTGACGTGGACTAACGAGGTAAATCAGTTCAGAGGAAAAGGCAGCATGAACCTCTCGAAATTAGATTAGCTGAAACAAAAGCCAAGAGGGTTTAACACGTAACGGTAGATAATCCCCTGTTTGACCGTAGTTTCCAGTCAATTAAGAAGCGATTAAACTTCAGAATCCCTCCTGAAAGTGACACACAGAAAAATCAGCGCAGTCAATGAGAATAGATTCAAAGTTCTTTCAATCAAACTCGGACGAGCATTTCTCATTTCTTCGGTGATCTGCATTCAGAGTCAATCTCCATGACAATTTGCTTCCATAAGTGCATACTGTATGGATAGTACGGTAATGTAACTACATCAACGCTCGCAAGTACACTTTTCCCGACGCACAATCCTGGACTATCTCATAAACACCAAACACAGAATCGATCCGGCGGTACAATGAACTTCCTCAATCGATCGAAGGCAGCTCGAGTTTGAACATGACCCATAACGAAGACGATTGATTCTCTTTTGGTATTCTCGAATTTGGTGTGTACAAAAAATTGACTAGTTCAGGCATTCCAACAGACAAAACCCTAATAGAATAAGCTTGACAGGACCCAAATACAGAGAACGTAGATCAACTAACTGACAGTAGGCTAAGTATTGATGCTTCACACATGTATATCACACCCTACGCATGCACCACACTCATCAACTGATGACACAGAATCTGGTTAATGGATAGCACTAAATGACTGCTTGCTCTTTACAGCCGTTTGTGGGGACATTTTCCGGTCCTTGATCTACAACCACATCTGTTAGGTGTGCATTTTAGCACAGGTTTGATGCAAGTGCATTCTCCATGAATTGAGTCATTCAAGCCTCAGCGGTTTGAAACTCGGCTATTATCGGTGAACAATAGATAATGGTGACTATGGGATTTATGTCCCAAGAGCGCTCCGAATATCAACTGTTTCCTGCGTGAACTGCTACATACAGAAAAAGGGTAATTTCATACCTGGCTCGGCTCGTACTTAATCGTAAAACAATTGTCACCTAATCCGGGGATAGACTCTCACATTAGCTGTGTTTCATTTTCTTGTACTACATTATCAAATTCATTAGCCTTCAGTTGAGCTCAAATTTTTTTCAATACATATATCCACTGTAGAATTTTGTAAATTGTTGAAAATTTACCCTCTGAGTGTATAAAGCGTTTTTTGACCTGACTGTTTCGCATACAATGGTCTGTAATGAAAATTCGACTCCATCAAAACTGTATTCAATAAACGGCTTCATGCACAATCCACAGTCCATTGAATTAACTATACACTTCAGTGCTATAACACTTCCCGATTTTATGGGTTCATGCGTGAACTGCGTAAAGCTGCAGTTGAAAGAGAGTCAGTCTAAATCACCTCACACCACTGTTTATCACAGCCTGTTCAATACTGTCTTTCATAATCAACCCTCTGTCGTTACACCTCCCTTTCCAACCAAAAAAATCACGCGAGACAACTTGTTTGTCACTTGTCTAGGCTTGATGCGAACTGTTGTTGTCTGTTCTGTAGCACCGATGGTAAAATTGAAAATGAAAGTGGGCATTGAGGTGCATTGGGCACCTGGACGTTTGACCTCGTCCGAAGGATGAATGATCCGATGAATTGTACACTGGCTTCCAATGGATTGTGGTTTTCACACACCACACCGCTACCTTGCGGGTCAGGCTTTGGCTAGTAGAAGGCTCCGGTCGTGGATTCCTCAAGAAAATTCACCTGCCTTGGCCTGCGCAATCTGGTAGTATTCAGTCCACGAGCCAATCATGGAACGTTTCTCCTTTTTATAAAGATTATTGTACCATGATTTGTTTGGCACACAATCTGTCCTCAGACAAGTGTGTGTCACGTGTTTGAATCGCGCAACACACACACATTATCAACCACCTATAACGGTATTCCTAGATCTAAAGACTGTGTTTGATTCGGTTAATCATGAAGCTCTCTTTGCCCGGCTTCTCCTCAACAAATGATCTTGAGATAAGTTACACTGCGGAGATCACTGTACTTGTATGTTCCTGGTTGAGCAAATGTTTACGGTGAGCTAAGCAGATCGTTCGAAAACAGCAGCGACGTTCCACAAGGGAGCCTTATTTCGCCGGTCCCGTTTAACTTCATCGTTATAAAATGGTTTGTGCCATGATTTATTTGACATGGAGTCTGAGCACCACCGAACAAGACACTTTTATCTATTGAATATGTTTGAAAGTAAACACATTTCTTTTGTGAATAGCACTTTCACCCACTCCGCCATTTTTGTTATTTTATGCTTAAGGCCAGGAGGTGATCAAAACCAGGGAGATAAATGGGGTGAAATCAATTATTCTACGTCGATATATTGCACAGTCTGAATCCAGACTGTGCCAAACAAATCATGGTACAAGCTTGCTACCGTAAAATGGTAAAGTGATGTTTATGAGAAAGAAAAAGCCCCATGATCTGCATGCGGGCGGAATACTGTCAAGTTGCAAAGGCCAAGGCAGGCGGGTTTTTCTTGAGCAATCCACAACCGGAGCCTTTGGCTAACCAAAGCCCGACATGCAAGACTGCGGGGCGGCGTGCGAAAACCGCAATAAATTGGGGGCCGGTGTCCAGTTCATCGAGTCATAGATAATTTGGACGGGGTCAAACGTCCAAGGTGCCCAATCGAGCCGATGATCACTGCCACAACCGGGAAGTTGTGTGTGTGGTTGGTCCGTACGACTCTTCGCGGTAGGTTTTGAATCCGGGTGTTGGGCTAAATCCCCTAGATGAACTACCAGTGGTCCACCAACACGGTTATAGCCCAAGATGTTGGCTTTTCGTCCTCTCACTTTGGTGGAAAGACACCTCCTCTACGAGAAGGCAATGAGTAAGGCGTCCTCAGCAGACGCTATTCTACACGCTTGGTCGTATGGGAGCGTTTCGCGAGGTGAAAGGGAAAGGTGACCAGCCGCAACCCTAGACACCCACCCCCGACCATACTGAGGCCTCTGCAATGAGGGAGTTGAGCATTATACTCTGATTCCATTTCGATAGAACAACTCCTGATAACATATTAACCAATTTCCAATCAGTGACAGGGGTCTTTATTTTTGCGGACGTGTTGCTCTTAAGTAATCCATGAGTGAATCAACGCTATGATTTCTTCTTATCTTCGTGGATTAAACGATGTTAATCGAGAATTAGAAGTAATAGTAAGCAGTTTGCGAAGGACTGGACAAGATTTCCCAAACAGCTTACGACCGGTTTCGTGATGATTGCCATCAATCAGATATGCGTATTTGGTGGTCTCTCGAAACCCTGGCGCGTACATTTTCATCGTGAATTTCTAATCGGCTGTTGTGATTAGTGATTAGATCGGGTCCATCAGATTCAAACAGTTTGTTTGCTTCCGTGTCAGCGCGCTACGGAGGTGGTCGATCTGCCCCCGGGTATGGTCCACGCCAATCGCGTTTTGACGATAATCTAGCGTTCCTGCCCAGCGACCGTACTCCAATTACCGCCCGGAAGTTATCAAAGTAGTTCATACGGTACGTACGGCGGAGCGACTAATCCTCCAGCCCCAGGCGCACCCGGCGTTCTGCGCAGTGGACGCAGTCGTTTTGACGTTGGTCCGGGCAGCGGACCGCAAACATCATCCACCGGGGGCCCCAGCAACGGGGTCCACTGCACCGGCACCATCTATGACTCAACCAGCTGCATCGATACAATCTTCCCAGCCTTACGGTTACAACTATCACTAATCACTAGTGATCCCAAACCGATAAACAGAACATCAAATCACAGCACTGATTCACGCTTGGACTGCTTTATAACACTGCATCATGAAAAACTCCCCCCAGACTCGTGGATTATAACATTGTAAAGCAAAAATATACATAGTAGGTTCAAGTTTATGAATGAACAGATAAGAGAATATCAGGTACATATGCCTAATCCGCGGTAAGCTCCACGGAATTGGCCGTGTTCTTTAGGAGAAATTTTTCTCGCAATATACGCAGTATTAACCACAGCTCCTGATGACCCCGAGCAGAAAATAAACACAGTGGGAATCAGGACTGTATTTCTCAGAAACAAAAAAGTACACAACGTCCGGTACGACATGGTGATGTACATACAGGTACTCAGTGTTTTTCCACAAAGCATTTGGTCAATTCTCGTATTGCGACCGTTGCGTAACTAGATTTAGGCAACGTGAATTGTAAAACGACAGCTCGTTCCGATTTGCCTACGGGGCACGAAGTGGAAGTAAAGAAACAAAGCTTTGACAATTTTCAACGACAACAGAACGCATGCTAACACCGTATGTACGATGAACAAACTGGACCTAAAGGGGTGGGGGTATTTACGATAACTATGAAAGTGAGTGAGTGGCTCCTCGTTTTACACCATATGCATTTTACATAATTGTGGCATTTCGTATCCGAGCCGTTGACAAGGGCCAGCCGAGGACAGTTTTACCACTAAATCGAAGTAATGGATCGACTTCCATGACGATTCCCTCGAACCATATAGAGATCACAAAGAGCAATGGGTACAAGAGCTAGTGTCCAAACCATCGAAGGTGCTGTACTGTGATAATTTCTAGTACAGGAAAGTTATCTATAGCCAAATACGGTCGCCAAATTTCCTCATTGCTCGTGTAATATTACCTCCTGACATAGTGGCAACAGCATAGATGCCTCAAGTAGCCTAAGTCCAACCTGGTTTTGAAATGCCAGCGTATATGTCGCGTGTAATGTTATCATCGACAATTAATTTACTCTCGCTGTAAAAAATTATCAACCAAATCTAAGCGATCTAGTAACGTTTACTGACACCACTTACAATTGCAGTTTATGCAATCAATAACCATGCATTGAAGTGCAGCGGTTTTGGTTGCGGTCTTTTGACTACCCATTTGGATGGAGGCACAAAAGGAAGATTGGAAGCAGCGTCTAGGTGAAGGCAGAGAACTTAGGTAGGTGGAAGTTGCAACTAAATTGAATGGGCGCACGAATACCACCACCGTCAGTCCTATCGCTTAGTGTCTCTAACTGTCGGCTAAGCTGATCCGGAAGTTCGCTATACAGGAAGCCCAGAAGCGACCTATGTGAGCATGTATCCTGATCAGGATTTTCATAAACTCATCTCAGGTCTTACTTTGACTTCTGTTGATTTTTTTCCACCAACTACCTGCCTCGGAAAAAACGTAACTTAGGGCAATCTAATTGGTGACAAGCGAAAAGCATGCCTCACCCAACGTAGTCTATGGAGGTGGACCACTTACTCCAGTGGACGACCGTTATTACCTAAAACTGTGAATGTGTGTCTAACCTCAGTATTGCTCATCCAGATGCCTCACCAGACTCATGCAATGCGGCGTAACTAGTAGTGTTCGAACACGGACGCTCTATGCTGTCCCCGAACGGTCAACTCTATGCACCATGTAGCGGCGTTGGTTGAATCACCAGGCACACGGAGTGATGCGTGAGGATGAAGTTGGATCTGAAGAACTCAAGGTGATAGTTAAAGTAAAATTGTTAGGTAAAAAGACTATTTTTACCTAAAACTGACTATTTTTCAAGTGTCTGCAATTCGGAACATCTCCAATCAATACCAATCTCGCGGAGAATAATCAATCATATCGCGTCATGCGTAGACATTCACTCCGTCCGTCCGATCCGTGATCGATTGAAATTCGCTCACTCCGTGACTTATGATCGATCGAACTTTGCTAACTGTACTTGATTGGCATAACCCTTTATCGCATTAATCGATGCCATTTTGAGACACATATAAGCATGAGAGTAAATCTCGTAAATTGACTTGACTTGCTTTCCTGTGTGTCGAATACACGTTCGCTGTGCACTAACTGTGTTCTTGCTTACGTAGCTGGGAGAAGGCTACTAGTGCTCGTGGCGTCCAATCTGTGCTGTGATCGTACTCGTGAGGCTAGACGAATAGTGTGGCCGTTTGAGTTACGTGTGTTCCTCGTGTGTCATCGTGTGATATCTTGTTGTGTGTATATTGTGATCAAACGAGATCCGGACACAACAAAAATCTTGTGTGTTTTGCAGATACAACATGCGTTCAAATTGAAAGTTTCCAGGGTTCTACCTAAGGCAGCTTATTGGCCATGTTGATAGTGTGCAAAGTGAAAAGGAGATTTGGGGTTCGTCAAATTAGCGGTTTAGGACCTTACTAGTTAAACGCTGAGTGGCATCAAATAAGGGGCAGAAGTAGGAGGTAGTTCGCACGATTTGCAGGTGAGAGGAAGACCTAGACAGGAGGGACGGGGGAAGGGTTCCAAATGGGTGCCCAAGACTTTAAGGCACGACATATGTACTTCGCGGTAGCCCACATCATTGACGAAGGGGTTTTACTTTGGATACCCTGACCGCAGCCTTTCATTCAAATATCTGACCTAAACGGCAGCAAAGCGTAGGCACGTTGTATGGACATGACCAAAGCGTCCGTGCAGGAGCTTCAAGAGAGACCTTTCACACAAGGTATGAGGGGTTCACGAGATGATTTTTCGCTCACTCGAGTATTAATTAACAAATGCATGAGATAAAATTCATTGCGTAGTAAAGACGTTGCACATATGCTACTATTTAATTTCACTCTACATTCTGTTGGAGGATAAGCGGGCTTCATGGATATCATCCTTGGTTTCGTGGGAATGGGATACGAAGTGGTGTCCTCAGCACTGTTCAGAATTGTTTTACTACTTGTTCGCCTACTAAGGACTGGTAAGTTAAAGACATCCCACCCAGCCTTTTTATTGGTGTGCACTTCCGTGTGCCTTGCCCGTTCAAGGGCACTTTGCAAGATAGAAAGGTTATTCCAGAACAACCGGAGAGGTTGCTACCGTATAATTCATCCGCCTCTTCTGGGAATATATGCCGAGTAGATGGAGAACAACAGGAGTAGTGATCGTGTTTAGCGGCGGACAGTGAACGTCACGCCACAGTGCGGTCTACAGACTTAGGTGCTGCCATGTGGTGAATAAAGTTAGCTATAGGTGAACATTTTAACAATTTTATAAGGCAAGTACGAGGAAGAACTTGGAGTGTCAATGTCTGACTAGCTAAGAAAACATAGAGAGAACTGGGTTAGATGACAACTGTAGTCGATTTGCAGACATAATTTTTACTCCAGGGCCCGTTCAACTAAACTTGATGAACGGACCGAGCTGTTTGAGAAAATTCAAGCATGATACCCTCTTTCTAAAATTGATCATTTTCAAGGAGTTTCGTCGTCCGACAGTGGGGAGCTGCGAGAGCACAGTACTCAATTAAATTTAGCAAAGCAAACAGAACCAACTCACTTGTGTTCGAATTATCTACCGGTTCCGATGATGCGTTGTGCTCGTGGGCGTTGGTTTCGTTTGACTGGTTCGCAGAGCCTTCCAGTTTTTGTAAATCTGATTCAATCAGTGGCACACTGGGATCAGTGTATTCACGAATTGTGAACGAGACATCCTTCGGTTTGACAACCAGAGCCCGATAAGAACCGGGGAGGGCGAAATCTCTACAAAAAGAGAAAATGATGATGGACAATAAGTACGGGAGTGGACACATAACAGGTGAGGTAGAACGCAATCGAGACACAAAGGGAGTATAGCGGGTGGGAGAAAATGAAAGATAAAATCTATCGGTATATTCGGACGGTTAACAACAACTGCGAGGAAAGTTTTGTTGAGCAAATGGAGAAAGATGAGAATTCGGTGATGATCAAATCTCACGAGACGGGCTGTGATCCACGAGGCCTACGTCAGGAGTACGGTGTTACGTAAGTCCTGTCAATCGCTAGGATAAAGATCGACCTCTGTCGAAGAGGACGGTAGGGTCACAGGTGGGTCTCGAGTTGTGACTGATCAGTTTATTCTAGAACTTAGCAAACTGCTCCTAATACGACCAAACGCCTGTGATAGGAGTACGGATCACACTTATACCTTTTTGGGTGGGACAGTGGTTATCGGTTGGATTGGGCATATTGGACTTTTGGTTCTATCCAAAAGGCCTTATGATTTAATGAACTGAATACCAGCCCGCAATAGACTGCGGTTTTCGCACATTGATCCGTTGCTTTACACAGATCCAACTGTTCGATCAAAGGTTTCTGGTGGGAACTTCAAAATAATCACCGTTCTTCAGTTTGTGCTACATATATACATATATATATTATATATGTATACAGTACTGGCGGATTGTGATGCACTAAAATGTTTTCTTTATGATCAAATGGAGTTTCATCATATTTATCACTTGTATTAATGCTTTAGACATGAACAATAATTTATATCTTGTCCACTTCGATCTACGTAGTTTCTAGGCTTCATGAGTGTCAATTAAACGTGCCTAACCTTGAGTGCCGGGATTAAATGATCTCAACATGAAAACCATAAACTTTATTAAGTATGACAACGCAATATTTTCTAATAGGAATGACTCAAGAATTATCCTAAATTATTTCCATAAACCCTTACCATCTCGGTTATTTGTTATGCGGGATTATTTTATCCAATATATAATCCATTATGGCAACTCTATTGGATAACCAAATGAAATTCTTTGACAACCCAGAGAAATTGCATTAAATAAGTTTTTTATAATAATAATCTGTTTGATATCTAAATCACTGAATTCGAAAAATACCACTTCAAAGTCAACTTTGAAATCAAGATAATTTTTTTGCACAGCTTTGAATTTTCATATTGTTGTCCTATAATGAAGCAAGCAGCGCTCAAAACCAAGTTCCCGTTATCTAAGTGAAAAAATTATTTCAGTATAAATGCTATTGCTTATACAAACCGAAAAGTGTTTCACAGGGACCCGTGGCTTCAGTTTCGATTAGATCTGAATATATATGTGTACTGTTGACTGAGGCATATCTCCGAAAATTCTTCTCGGTCAGACTGGCACTTGGAAGAATAATACAGAGAGCTGATTAGTCATCGATAACTAGGTGATTAAAAACATCAGAAGCTATGACATTTCTCCCAGACGGAGATCTTCCGTTATGTATACTCCTGATAAGCGACTTAGCGGGGTCTTTGAATTTAGTCGAACTGTTTTTGTTATCACTGTCGCTTTCACTTTTTCCGTCGTATATTACCTCAGGATTTACTTCCGCATTAATTATAGTGACCTCAATGCCTACATAAAACGCGCCCAATTTAGTCTCCTTTTGAATATCCGTGAAAATATCAAAGATTCGTCATGAAGTGCCTTTTATTATTTTAATTTGGATCACCATAAATGCAAATAACAAAAGGAGAAAACATCGTTGTGAAGTTGCCCTAGAGCGCAGAAATACACAGGCCAATAGCTTATCTATCATTGTGTCGTCGAATGTGAACTCAATGCTCTTAAAGTTATGATATCTCGGCCTCTTGCTTCACAAGACGGGCACTCCGAAAACCGCGTTAATTTTCGAGGAATCTTGGATCGAAGAATTGATCGATTACGAATTGATTGAAATTGGAGGCTTTGATTTGTTTCGTGCAGATAACACCCCAGGAAAAACAACAAAAGGCGATGGTATCATCTTCTATGTGCACCAGTCAAAAGCTGACGTTTTGCATCTCACGCCTTGAACATTTAATAGTGCCATTGTAGGCAATCACTTAATTTATTTTCCCGTGCGTTTTATGTCATTGGACTTACTGTTACCCTGTTATGCTTCCAGGTCTATTGTCTAAGGATTGCATACTAATTAGAGGCACTCTGAAATGCGTCTATAAATATGCAGCTGTCCCTTATGCAGCGCTGGTCGACTTCACTAGCCACCAATACCTTAAAACACGTGGCCATCCGTGTGATTCAGTTCTGTTTGATGCATCACATCCTTTTCACACACACACACACGCTCCATTTTCACTTGTTTCCTCCGCAATACATGCAAATTTTTATACGCACGCGCATTACGACTTTTTACAATTCTGTTATTCTTTATTTTCCTCATTTATTGGTTTCCTGGAAACAACAATCAGATGAATCGAAACACGATCTCATATAATTGATATTGTCCCTCTTCAACATTAATGCATTTTTACTCAATGTCATATCACTAAGTCCCTATGCTTCGTATGTAAGCAAAAGCAAAAGTAATAACGTTAATTCTCGGAGAAGTTTGTCTACAATGGATTATTGAAGTACTTGTGTAATTTCCTTATATGTTTCCAACCTTATCTTCAAATAGTGACTTTTTGAACAGCTGACAGATGACAACAAGAACCGCAATGTATAAACTGATCGATTCCATAATCGGAAATGAACTGAAATGAATCAACCCCAATCGCTCGGACTTGAACCGATGGGATCGACATGTTCAGTACGAGGACTAAATTCTCTTTGCATGCACATATAGCTGAAAAAGTGATGAAAAAAGACGAGAAAAGCCATATTTCTTATACCTCACACTTCCTTAATGGTGGATTCTTATGGGGTTACTTGTGTATAGGCCAAAGATAGCGAATTATAATCCTTACTCTATCATAAAATAGTCCCGTTCAGACAGATTAAGTGAGTACAGAAAAAGTTGTACACCTGAGTCTCTGAAATACCGCATCCCTCGAACCACGGAGAATGTGCTACATCATAACAATTTTTTGTTTTGGATGACCAGAATTATTCAGTAGGATTCCTGACGGTGGCAGTATGTGAATGATAGTCGGTGTTCGGAATTGAACAAACAAACTATAAAACGGAGTGTTAAAATCAACGAAAAAAGAGAATTCCTCTTCTATGTGTCGAGTCAGTCAAACTCGCATTCAAATTAAATGTAGATCAGGTTATTCGGGGAATGGCGGAACACATTGCCAGTCATAATGCTGAACTACTGCACTAAGAAGCACAATGAAGCCGGTCTTAAAATGTTTTACATTCTGTTTGTATTGATCTCAATTAGTTGAAAAGTTATATGCACGGGATCCTGAAGGGTGGGGTTCACAAATTGTTGCAGTTCCTGAAGCATATCCATTCTCAACTTTCAGTTACCAAAAATTGGTTATGTATTCCAAAAAATAAGTGTCATACATGAAAATGGCTCTTCAAGCTCTGACAAATTCGCAACCCAAATATACTACTTTTAGGATTGTCAGTAGGGAATTTAGCGTGCGTGCCACCGAAATTCCGAAAGTACACGTGCTTCGATCCTTGAATGTATACAGGCCTCCTTCAATTGCATTTCTGAATAGTTTTGGTTTAATCTTAAACCACTTTGCTAAAATTGAAACAAACTAAGAAATCGTATGGAGAGAAGTGAGCGGGAATGTGAGAAACAAACCCAGTGCACTTTCGTACTCATGCTCGACATCGAGGAGATTGTTTTGAATGTGTTTTATCAAAATTATCATTTTATCATCGCAAAGTGACCTATAGTGAATTGACTTTCACTAATTGCTACCGAACTTGTAATGCAAACCAAGTTAGTGAGATTATTTAAGGTGGACAAAAATTAGGCCGATTTCGAGGGACGATATGCGTAATACGCGTCCTAAACAGTGAGGTCAACTACTTGTAATTCGATGCATTAGCAAACCTATGAGCTTGCATTCAAAGAATCTTATAGTATCCGATAGTTGCTACAGTCTATCAAACGGAAAAACTATTATGCAAACGTCAGTTTTCGTTTTTAAACTGAGTGAAAGACAACAGATCAGTGGTTTACGTGCAGCCCATCAGAGTTACACTGAAAAATAATGAATTCGCCATGACTGTCAAACCGTGATCCGTTCACATGGCCTAATATTGGTTGGGCAATTCGCTCTAGTGACCAGCATGAAAACACAAGTGATGGCTGAAACTCGGCGTGCTCGTTCATCTTCCCCAAGCAGTTATAAATGACATCAATTGATCACGGGCGGCAGACAGACAATAACGATGACAACGGCACTGAGTGATTGATATTCATCAGAGAACAGCAAGCATGCATTGGGGCAGGTGAACTGTTGCATTGAATGACTGGATCAGGTTTTTTCTGTGCAACAGTGATAATGTGATTAACATGATTTCCAGCTTAAGGTGGAAATCATGTTAATCACATAACATAACCACATAACATTTCATGTACTGTGTAACTGTTTACACTAACTCGCAGATCGGCGTTTGCCTGATTTGCGTGATGTCCCGCAATAACCTGAACACACATGCGAACCACGTGTGAAACAAAACTGGATCGCTTACATGTTTTTCTGCTCTCAATGCTTAAAATTTCCCAGTCTGATGGGCCTTGTGAGAATAATCCGACTTAGAGTGCACTTCCAATCCAGCCTGTCTGCGATTGATCTCAACTGGACTGATCACATCTTACTGATTTATTTTATTTCAGTACACCTAAATTATCGAGCTTGGATTACATTTGCCTGAACTGGAAGATTCCTCAGTTGTGCGTCACATCTCTTACAATATGTCAAACCCAAAACCTAATGGTCAGACATACAAACAAACCAAGTGTTAGGACACAAGGTTCTCAAAGATGGTCACATCAGAGCAAAATACTTCAGGCGATTATCTCCTCGGTGACGATACAGCAGCTTCGACGTAGGATCTCCCATTAGTATCCGCATTATCGTAAAGTGAGATACAGTGAAGCGAACTTCACTGATCGCTGCTGAGCTCAAAATGTGCACAAATCAAGTGAGAAAGTATAAGATGGAGAGGGGCTGGGCCTAATTGGAGGGTGGAAAAGTGAACGTCGACGGTCAACACACACAATCGAACTCTGCATACATACTGTTTCAAGCATTCTGACCTGATGAGAAATGACAACAAGAACGCCACTAGTGTCGATTATTCGCCATATCCTTTAGTGTCTCCAACCAGCCCCGGAAGACGGGCGATACGTATTCTACCTAATCATTCTGTGAATTTCTTCATGTCTCGCTTCCACGTCATCTGTTGACCTCCACGCAGTTTCTTCCAACCTGGAGCCGCAACTGCGAATAAGGCGCAGTGCGGTAGACGATAGCTGGGCGTTCGCAATACGTAACCTAGCTAGAGAAGTCGACTAATCTGAATTCGATGAGACAACGAATTCTCTATCGAATCATTACCAAATACTCGACGGCTTGCCTCAGAGTTGCTTACACGCTCCCTCTATCCATCCGGCGCCAAAATACGTAAACATCGCCCATTGAAGACTTCTAGACGACGAATATCTTCCATGCACAAATTTAGGGTCTTGTACTCATAAAGCAGAATTGACCGCACATTGGTGCAGTTTATGCAACCTTTCAATTTCAAGGAAACATCACACCTGCAAAAAGGTGGTTCAATTTTATGTAAGCTGCTCGAGCCTTGGAAATGCGGGCGGTTATCTCTTTTGCTGCGCTACTGTCATGGGTCACGCAACTACCTAAGTAAGAAAAGTAATGCGCCATAACTAATTCTTGACCATCAAACATCGAGCTAGAGTAGATGACACCCAATGGTGTAGCATCACTTAGCACTTTGAACGTGAGGGTATAGTATCAAGTCAGTGAGCACTTTTCTCAATGGAAAGCTAAAATGTGATGATTTACCAGGAATTACCAGGATTGATACAAGACCAATTTTCCACGTCAGGAGAAAAGATACATCTATAAATCAAATATGGATAGTTTTAGAGGTAAACAATTACTGATTTTATTTGATTTAAAAAAACTTAACTCAAAATGTTTTTTTATATTTCTTCATCAGGAAGTTATTGGTGACTTCAGGTGATTTTCTCCACTGGACTCACTGCACGAAAACTCCGGAGAATTGACAAATGGATAGATAGATTGATAGAGTTATGGAGTGCAGATGGGTAAACATCAGTTTGAAATGCCCATATATATATATATATATATATATATATATATATATGTGTGTGTGTGTGTGTGTACTTACTTCACCTGATGACGTAGACTGTCCACAGTGAGCCCATCTTCTTTTAATAGCTCGTGATACCATTGACCGCCTGTGCACAGACAAAGACAAAATGACCGAGAGGGTTTGTGTTACGGGCAAAAGCAGTACTGCCAACATTTTTCCTAACTGCACAACAAATGCGGTAAATTTGAAGTGATATCACTTATCATATTGTCCAAATTATGAATTCCCATACGACGATATTGGTGCTATAAAACAATAGCCACATGGCAAACAGAATACTGATACTTTTCAATGGTTAAAACTTCAAGTCATGTTCAGATCTGCGTTACCTTCCACCGCACTGTGATCTCGTAAGCGGAATACAATATTTGAAGAAATTTATTTAAAGCCAAANGATTCAAACGGAGAGGTTGATCAACTGTGAAGATTGTTACTTATCAGAATTAGTATGCTCTTCATGGCAGACGAGTATACAAGGCGGTAAGCAGACTGACAGAAATATGAAACTAGCGAGGAAGTCAATTTTGTCAGGTTTTCGAGAGAACAATCAACAAGTAAAATGAGCAAAACTTCATTTGGAATGCTCAGAGGTACATCATAATTATTTAATCGTCATCATCATGATAAGTACCAGTGTTATGTTGATAAGGGCGGTTGTTAACTCGTCCTACGTTTGCAAAGATGAAACATGCACAATCCGAATGGACCAGTCTCCTCTCTCGGTGGCTTGGTGGCCACAATGAACAATACGTGTAAATCCGGCATGCAAAATCTCGGATCCGATTCTCAGTAGGATCGACAGATATGGACTGCTGATCATCAAATTTGAAAAACAAGGGGGAAAGAACGAACATGTGAACAACATGATTCCCAGTGGTTGAATTCTAGCAATCAGCTTTAATGAACAATTAATGATTTTTATTAGTCTGACTGACCTAGAGCGTATTGATAAAGACAGGGTAGGTGAAAAGTAACAAAAGTTTAGGGGATCAACGAAAGGTGGCGAGAGGGAGGGGGCAAAACAATCACATTCAAAAAGACACTTCTGACAGTTTGATTTGATCATTAATGATTTTTGGTAGCGCTGCTGGTACGCATGTGAGAAAATAAACTACCATGCTCCCTTAAGGTAGTCAGGTGTTGACTTCTGGCTGAGGTAATGGTATATTTGTATCATGGATGTATTAGTCACAGTCGGATAATAAATAGTAACTTGACTGTGAGTGTGGCTAGTCAACAAACAGATAATGTTCACACGCTTCACGAATACGAAATGAGAGGATATAAGTTTGGATAATTTTTTTCAACCTAGGGCTTAGACAGTATAGGACAGTTTCAAACAAAAGTCCACACTTCAGGCGCGCGCACACACACAGACAGACTGTGGCGATTACACAAAGTCAAACCACAGTTCCTGGACAAATTGAATTCCACACACCCCGCACACTTACTCTCGTTCTCAGGATATCGGACAGCGAAACCGGGTAGAGGAAGGACCACATCGGTGATCGGAATGGAAGAGCAATCTGTCGCCGTAGCAACTTTAGGGCAGGGAAGAGATGGGCGATCGTCCGATCGACGCGCTTGATCCTGTCTTTCCGAATCCTCGTCCTCCGGAACAACTGAAAAATCTATGCAAGCACGAGTAAAAAGCCAATAAATCATTCAGGAAAATCCGAATAAGATAATTGACTGACATTGAAATACGGAAAAAGACAGGTAGTTTGGATACATGGTGTCATCTGTTGTCAGAGCATTTCATCATATGCGCTTATCTGACCAAAACTCGATGGGCTTTACGGTGAAATGACAAAATGGTCAACATATCGACTCAGTTTTTCGCAGGATAACGAAGCAAGATGTGACGCAAGCAACCGTCCTGGTTGATGTACTACTAGACACAAATAAGGACAATCAAGTAGGCGTAAAATAACTAACGGCCACTATGAGACAAGTGTAATCAAAATGGTTCCTTACACAAAGTAGATATCCCCGGTGGGCTTAGTACACAAACAGGGCGATAGTGAGCGTTGACAATCAAATAGATCGGACAAAGAAAGCATGTGTCAACGAAGCTCACACGCTCACATGCAGTGCTATATATAGCCAGTCAGTCATTTCTAATGGGAAGCTGTTATTCAAACTATAAAGCGGGCAACTTTGTGTCCACGAGGAAATGAACGTCAGCCGCAGGGGAATGGAGAGGATATTGAACATGTGCCAGAGACTGACGAACAGTTTCAGCTTCAGTTTTTACAACCACTAATCACACACTTTCGTGTCTCGGTTTTGGTTGCTATGTTTTGGCCAAACCATTTGGATAATAGAGCAGAATGAAGATTGGAATGTTGAGCGCAGAGTCAAAGAGAAGATAGAGAATTCATATAGACTGGGGTTGCAAGAATATGGAGGAGATGTACGAGCGCCACTGTTTGCGACACGCGGTCACTCAGCGTTCGTTCTCAACCAAAATCGTTTTTCCTACCAGTGCGCAATCCAAACGTTAATCGTAATTAGGAAAAAAGAATTTGATCGAATTCGAACGAAGATATGGGACGATATGAAGGAACATTCTGTTTCTGACGTCAGTTTTACATGGGTCCGGCTGAACTGAATGCGTCAATGAACTTGAAAAAATAGATGCTAGAAGGATATAAGTTCAGTACCGGAAGCTGATAACTGACATGTACGGGCGCTCAATAAGGATGCAAAATTATCATGGACCGACCAGTGGAACACAATAGTCTCAACTGATGAAACAAAGTTTAGTTTTTGACGGCTCCTCCAACTCCCGGCATGATTTACAAAACGGAACAAACTATCTCAGTTCCAGGGTGTTTGGTGATGGTTTGTTTATGGTGTGTGAGTTGGAGGTCACTTCGCAGGGGACCACGGAGATAGCTAGTCTGGTCGGTGCTCAGGCCTTCATGTACTAAATAAACACTGCTCAAACCTTACTATGAATTTTGGTTCTGGAAAGTCATGTGGAATCGTGCATCTTTCATCAGAATAGTTCTCCACGCGCAAGTCACATTTGAAAACATTATGACTTTTGTACCAAAATACTGTTACTGGATCGGCTTGCACCCAGTGAGGAACGTTAAGAGTGTCATTACGAGCAATTACAGGGAAATGAACGGCAGTTTAAGACCGTAGGGGAATAAGGGAGTCTTGTTGCATTTTTGGAATGATACGTCCAAATCATGGCTTATATTTTTTGTCAAATATATGCTCTGACGTGTATTTGCGTAGAAGTGGAATAGATCGCCTATATCTTACTGATCACTCCTTATCAATGTGACCATTCCCGATTAGGCACCACTTTATGGTTTGTGAGCCATATTGTGGTTTTATCAAAACTGAATGGGGATATGTGTTTCTAATCATTTGCATGATTATTTTATTTGTAAATCTACCAGAAAAGAGTGCACAATGAGACATGGTAAACAAAGTATGCCGAAGAAACCAAATGTTCATCTAATCACCTCAAGATGTGTGATAGACGCCAGTCGGTTGATGAATGTTGTGACCTTTCTATTGACTGAATCGTTTACTGTAAGTACCCCCCCCCCCCGGAGGGGGGGTATTGATTAATTGGTCAATACTAACCGTTACTACTTGCACGCTTTACTGACTCACTCTATCTTGAAATCGATTAACTTCAGCCAATCAGATATCGGCAAAAAACTATCTCATCTGGCTCATTCGTGGCCCAATTGACTGCTCGGCTTGATTGCATCCCCGACTACAAACCATTCAAACGCTTGCTGTTTCCAATTCGCCTGCTCTGCCTCCCCCCGCCCCCCGCCTGTGTAAATGTCAACCACTGTAGCCATGCACTTGCTACTGCGATTACTCATACTAACGGAAGTAGTGACCTGAACAGTGCGTGCTCCCTTTTGTTACGTATACAGCAATGACAAAAGCAACAAAAACTGACCCGAAACACAATATCATCTTTATTCTCACCCGTTCGCCGAGCTTGGCAGTTTGTTTGCAAACATTTAACCACCCACCGAGGTAACAAGTTCGTTGCTTGTGAAGTGGCTACTTCACAGCACATAGGCTGTCCTGCTGTGACAAGGGTCTAACGTTTCACTTTTTTGTTTTACTACACACATTTGTGTGCGATTGTTTCTTGTCGCCAACCTGTTACCTAGTAAGTGTTGGGGAATGAACAGATCGTTGGGATAAAGCATACATGCACACTTTTTCTCTGTTCGTCGACGAAACTCTGTCTACCCCAGTGAGGCCCATACGACATCGTTTGAACGCGGTCACTTACAGTCCAAGTGGTACGACGAACGGGAGGGCGCAGCGATGATGGCGCGGTGCCGAATCACGACGGACTTCATATCACATAGAAAACATTAGAAAATTATTCCTGATATTTCTATTCTGAACAATGGCGATACTTTGTTCGAGATGCTTTCGATTAATTTTCAAAGCTTCCTAGAACATTTTGAATTACTCATGTGGCATTATTTACCCGGGGCATAAAAGGATATCCTGGAGGAGCAAGAAAGCTGACATAGCGCGAACTTACCATCCAAGAGGTCACAACCAAGATCTGCCGCACTCGGCAGATACAAATCACCGGCAATGGTGTGTGGGAGACTGTCTGTGTCTGTGGAAAGATCACGGATGCGACGAGTTGCTACACGATTCCATATCCGACTCTGATAACTGTGCACGTAAAGCTGACGAAGATTGCGTGGTAGCTGTAAACACAACAGAGGAAGAGGAAGGGAAGGGGGTATGCATAAACCAGAAGCAAGAAATCAAGGAGAAACAAGAAGCTTATTTTTTTAACAAGATTGATTGAGGTGCACCACTGTTGTAGCCAACTGTACCTGTGGACTACGAAATCTTGTATCACCAGCACGCGTCACTACTTCTAAGTAGTCCGTTTGTTAGATGAAAAAATGTGCGAGACATGGCAACGGAAATTGAAAATACTGCTCTTGTTTCATTACTTTTGTTCGTGTGGGGGATAGCTCGGAAGGATTGTTTTAAACAACTCGATTTCTTCAAAAAGCGAGTTAAAACTAAGGTCGATTTACGGAATCTATGTCGGTTTCTGTCGGCAGCCAAAAATATGCTAGCCATATAGCACAAATAAGTAGATCGTGTCGGTCTAAAACCGCGATTGCATCCAAAAGAGAACGCACTGGCTTTCCAAATAACGAACGAAAATCTTACACCATAAATTGATCTTGAAAATACATATCTGCCTGATCCATTGGTGGAAAAATACATCACAAAAAGAAAGCTCCATATTGGAAACCTAGTAGCATGCATATTTGTCCATCAATGTAGACTGGTGTGTGGTAGTAATTAGTTGTCGATCTAAGCGCTCAGTAAATGTGGAGCGATTGCATAAAATCAACATACACCGCAGAGTGGAACAAAGCATTCGATCGTCACCAACAGAACAGTACTTGTGGTGCTCGAATTTCGTGAGATATTTCAAAATGGATGAAATACATTCTTGTTTGGTTAGCCACTGGTTTGAAACGGATTAGCAGTCATCAATATAGGTAGAACAAACCGAGACTAACGAACTGGATTGGAAGGAAGGTTTGCACTTTCTAACCGTAATCATTATCATCATCATATAGCGAAAAACAGCGAAGCCAACCTTGTCGATGGCTTCCGAGTTCGTAGTGCACACAAGGTAGGTGAGGAAGTGAAAGATGGACAGGGATTGGACCTTCATAATCAACAAACAGTACACAATCTAACTGTGCATACGCACCTTTCCAAGGATTCCAGCCAACTAAGAAATGACAACCACAACGCCACTGCTTTCGTTTTACTCTCATGTCCTTTATTGTCTCCAATCAATCAGTTACGAAGTCTTTTAGATTTGAGCCTGGAAGGCGGAAAACACCTGGGTATTTCTTCATGCCTCGTCTCCATGTGATTTTCTCCAACCAGGATCGGAAGCTGCAAATAAGGTGCAGTACGGTAGCGACCGTTAGGCATATGCAAAAAGCACCCAAAAGCAGCGAAGCCTATGGAGCTGAATTCGATACGATAGTGAGTTCGTCCTCGATACTTTGGCAAACATAAGACCACTAACTCACTTCATCCAAACTGAGCCAAACTAGGTAGGCATCGACTACTGAAAACCTGGACTCGATGGATATATTCCACCCGTAGATTGTGTTTGGGCTAGACGTACGAATGACTGGAAAGACTCTTGCTTAATCCCACACGATAATGCGGAGAGAACACAGCTTGAGACAACACCCAGGGTGTATTCTTTGATTAGATATCGATGCGCAAATGTATAGAACAAATCGCGCATACGAGAACGGTAAAGTGACACACCAATCAGATTGAATCCATCGCATATCGATTGATCGATCGGATAAACATTGGCTGATTCGTTCAGTGATCATCCAGTCGAACTCAGCCTGTCTGGAACGTTGCGAGCGTGCGTGTGGCCTGACTCGGAGGTGTGCGCGATCGGACGGGTTGCTTAAGCTCCGTCCTAACACTTTCCAATTCAGTGAAATGTCACGTCAGCATTGTCAGTGCTATGGACTGCTGCATAGCTCGGTCGATTAAACCAAATGAGGTTGAATTGAAGGGCCTCACCCAGAGACCTGTCAGGAATCGTCTAGCCAATAAGGCATTGGAGACACTGTTTGAAGTTCGCAACCAAATAAAGAGTGGACGTCATTGCAAGTTGCCCAATACATCTCGTCACCCATTCCAGTTGATAACCGAACATTTAGGACTCTTAAGGTCTGATCACATACCTCAGAATGGGTGATGTGATATCAGGACTCATCGGCTTTCCTAGACGAGATAGTGACCAATTATCCAGGTTGTATTCCCGCAGAGGGCAACAACAACAGACCGGACGACCATATATATATATATATATATATATATATATACATATATATATATATATGTATATATATATATACATATATATATATCTATAATTTTTTACTTACTTTTATATTTGTTGAGAAAGCATATATATATAATTCCCTTTCCGTAAAAGAGCCGAGGCCAACCAAGAGATGACCACAGAAACAGGGAAATACGGAAGTTCGGAGTACAGCGATAGTGGTATCAACATCACCAGTTCAGTTCAGTGTTTACAACCACTAGTCATGCACTTGCGTGTGTCGGCTTTGGTTATTGTTACCACCAACACCACCTATATATGATAAAATCAATGAAAAATCAAAGCTGTTCAAAAGTGGAGGTTTTGAAAACTATGTGGTAGAAATAAATGTGTTGGTATCTATGTGCGCATCCAGACCAAAGAGAAAACCACAGCCCATAGCATCAGTGGAGGAGGGGGACAAAAATCACAAAGGGGAACTGACCGACTGGAGTGCTTTAACTGTCAACCCGTGTTTGTCCACACCGCATAACAGTTCCCGTTCCATACAGGGTGGTCCGGAATCGGCACACTGCTTCGCGCTATCCCCCTTCAAGTAATTGTGTTTTAATTGCCGTACACAGGGTAGATCTGTCGAACGATGAAGAGCAAGGAGAAAATAGTGAGCCTATATCACAGGTATGTGAGACACATGTGAGTGAAATGTGCTACTGTGAAATCAAGCATCCAATGCGGGACCGGAAAAAAAACCCTGGTGACCTGTCACATCGAATCGTTAAGGTTTGCCCTGTACGGTAAACGTTGGTTAGTTCTGTGAACGATCCATCCCGATTCTATTGGCGGGTAATCAGATAGGAGGAATAGGAAACAGTTTTCAGATGTGAATATAATCTATCGGGTAGCGATGGCTATCTCCCCCCATGCTTGGAGGTCAGTTGCCAGTGTCGTTCAGTTATAATGCCAAAGAAATGCAAGACAATCAAATCACAGTTTATCGCGTGCCCATGACAACACTGAGATGCATGTAGTGTGGATCAGTGTTTCCCTTGTTGTAAAAAAGTCATAATGACTGTGAGGCAGTTGAGTGTTTTTTTCTTCAGTATTACACACCTCAGCATGATGTACAGGATGAAGCCCCGCACAGTCACGGGATCGAATAAAGTCCCTATCGGATTAGGTGCGGCCTTTGGTCGAGTGAGAGCTAGGATGTTTTCCAACATCTGGTGGCGGTCTAACTCAGACAGATAATGTGTTGCCTAACATTTTAAACTACCTTGAATAAAACCAAAACCTGATCAAACATAAATCTAAAAGCATTCCTGATATATCGGGCTATCGACGGCTACTAAATCAGATAGTTAAAAATGAAGAAACTTTTCAGTTATTGGACAGCAGAGAAGTGATGATATATAAATCCATCTGGGACAATACAACTCCACACAGTGTTTATGATGAAAAATACCAATAATTTGTTGTGAACTCCAAGCCTTTGTACAGTTGGAGTGGAGTTTTCGGGAAACGCATTGCACCATACCGGGGTTACCCTCGAAATGTCTTCTAATGACCCACATTTGTAGTCATTGCTGGGAAGGTTCGAATGAAGCTCTCTTCGGAGCGTGGTTGTGTGTGCCTAAGTATACGGACGAGAAGCAAACACCCTGGAGTCTATAAGTGGGTTCATAAGCCACCGGTTACCACCTGGGGTATAGGGGTATCGATGCAACTCTATTCCAAACTCAAAGTGATTTATTGATCCTAATTGGTGAATTTTCAGACTAACTACTGATGATTAGGTGCACGAACAGACCCTAAAACTATTGGATACTCGGTCACGGGTTGGATACGGTATCATAATCGCGGAAAACCGGTTCGAAGGATCTAAATCAGAATCAAATTAATTTATAAGTTAATTTGATAATAAGTAGTATGTGCGTAACTGGGCATTTTTCCCGGAAACCCATGACTCTTTTCATGCCACTTATTCAGTACGTGTATTCGCAACTCTGTTCTGTTAAAGTATTTGCACATCTGGATCACTAAATGTATTTGGGCCACAAATCTCTGTGACACACCTAGGGTTTATAGTTTTGAAGCTCAGTTTTCCGAGACAGTCGCATCGCAATCATTATTATGATCACACAGCAATTCTAAGAATCCAGCTAACCGAAACAAACTCGACATAATAACCGATTTCTGACGTTGCTGCACAAGTTTAAAACTTTCAGTCGTCCAGTGAGTGCCGCCATCTCACTCCAGAGACTTCGATGGCCAGGACATGTGTTGCGGATGCCGGCTCAACGATTGCCCCATCGTGTTATGTTTGCGCAAGCAGACACAAACTGGAAGCGACGACACGGTGGACAGCGAATAACCTGGGCTCGAACAATGAAGGCGCTAACCTCAAAACTGGCAGTGGTAGAGCGCTCGAGACTCCCAGGTTGGGGGTCCAAGGACAGAGAACATCTATGACTTGATATGCTTGCAGACATGGCTGGTAACCGACGACAATGGTGCATCTGTTGCGAGACTCTTGTTCGTTGATTTACATTCTAACTGTTTTCACATCTCTTTCTTCATACGTTGTGGCACATCTGCCAATTCTATGTAATTGACTACGTGTTAAATATAAATATATTAAAACTTTCACCTCTGAGAGTATTTATTTAGCAAAAACTGCTGTTGAAGTGTCCACATAGGGCGGCGAACCACACATCGAGAATATAAGTATGTGAATGACTTGACAGGGGGTTATCAGATATGCGCAGCAACAATCACCAAAACGGACGTGAGTGCATGGAAATTTTGTCTTATTACTTAGACATCACTTATTGTACAATTTCGGATNNTTTGCTTGATGGTGAGAATAAGAATAGTATTTAACCCACAACACCACGGTAGTGATTTGCATGTAGATTTGTCAACTATTTTGGCTTTGCTGTAAGGACCCACTACTTACTACTGATCCCGGTTGATTATAGCTACTTATAAAGCGTTTTTTCAAATCTAGTCTGCATATTATCCCCGGAAAGAGGACCAAATGGAAACGAAACACAAAGAAAAACACTCGTTTTTTGTCGTAGCCAATGGACTGCATGGCATATAATGCGATACGCACAATACGAGAAGCACTTACCGGCTTTGGTTGGGAGAAGAATGGCATTGATAGCGCTAGTCCAATCGTTTTGAATAATGTACCTATTGATGTTTGAAGAGTGAACATGAAAAGCAGGATAACATTAGGATAAGAGTCCGGTCGGGAACACAGACAGTGTTTTCTCTATTGCAAAATAAACTGAGAACTCACATAATATGTAACAACCATGCCGGCAACGTTCTCATCAAGGTTATGTACTTCTTGTGGAAAAAATGCCCCAAATAATCTGTGATGTGAATTTTATGTTTCCTCCTAAACAATTTAAATTTCGACCACATTGTGATGTATTGACATGATTACGTATCACCGAAAACGAGCTTTAGTATTTGAAATGCTTTATTCCGTCACACAGAACAGTATCTACAGTTAAATCGACCTATGCGTTATACCTGGAACAACCAAATAACATGATTAAAAACGCATTTGGTAGCCTGTTGGACAGTGATCACATCCGACCATCTCCCCTGTGATACAAAACTCAAATCCGCTCGACTAGTGCATCTCATGGTCATGGATGAGATCAAGTCTCGTGTTCTTCGCCTTCTTCTAATGACCGAGTTGATCAACGATCTGCCTTTGACCTCTAAGATGCAGTCGCTTTCCGATCGCCGGACATTTGCATCATTATCCCATTTGTATCATTTGTATCATCCCGGGTTCTGTTCCCGCTTTGACAGTCTCCCCCCCCCACCTCCCTATTTTCTCGTTCTTCGCGACCGCAAGCTGCCGGACAGATTTGTCCCTAAAGATGTCATTATCATCATCATCGTACAGCGAAATACAGTGAGGCGGACTTCACTGATCACTGTCAAACTCGTAATGCATACAAAGCTAGCAGTAATATTTAAGGTGGACAGGGATTGGACCTAGTTTTTAGGGAGGTGGAAGAAGGTGAACCTCTATGGTCAACACAGACTGCACAATCGAACTCTGCATACATACTATTTAAAGAATTCTGGCCCGATAAGAAATGACAAGAACGCCACCGCTGTCGATTCGCTGACATATCCTTCAATGTCTCCAACCAACCAGCTGTGGAGTCTTTCGGATCCCCACATAGAAGGCACGAGACACCTACTCTACATAATGGATCTGTGCATTTTTTCATGCCTTATCTCTACGTCATCTGTTAACTTCCACGTAGTTCCTTCCAGCCCGTATTAGCTACAGCGAATAAAGCGCAGTGCGGCAGACCACAGATTGGGCATATGCAATACATGCCCTAACCAGCGAAGCCTACTAAGCTGAATTCGATATGCTAGCAGGTTTATTCTTGATAAACTCCCAAACACACGACGACCTACCTCCACACTACTAACCCGTTCGCCCCATCCCACATAAGCTAAACTACGTAAACACCGACAATCGAAAACGTCCAGCAGACGGATATCTTTCACTTGTAAATTCAAGGTCTCACAACCATAAAGCAGAACTGAACGAACGGAGGCACAATACACACGACCTTTCAACTTCAAGGAAACATCACGTCTATGCCAAAGGTATTTCGGTCCTGCGTGTGCTTGGAGATGCGGGCGGTTATCTTCTTCGCTGCGCTACCGTCATTGGTCGCGCAACTACCGAAGTAGGAAAAGTAATCCACTATAACTAATTCCTGACCATTTAGTTCCAGAGCGGGAGTAGGCAGAACCAAATCTTGCAGCATCACTTTGCACTTTGAAGGTGCAAAGCACACACCGAATGTGGCAACAACACTTGTTAGTCTATCCAGTGCGCTTTGCGCGTCCTCCGTACATTCGAACAGATGTCGGACCTCATTCAGTCTTCCTTTTCCCCAGGACTGTGGAGCTCAATTAAATACTTCAACGACTCCGTAGTAACCTTTCAGTATGCAATAATCGATGTCATGATTCAATAAACAAGCTATTATCTTCACCTTAATTCTAGGGGTTATTCGAGTTCATATCGAACTTTAGCTCTCAAATAGGAACAGATATTCTGACTGACCTCGAAAACGCATAAAAAATGAAGGGAGACTAAACATCAATTTACGCAGATACCAAAAACGACAAAAAGTAAACAAACAAATAAATAAAACAGACCTGCCGGTATCAAAACTTTTGGCTTTTGCCGAATGACCGAATCGTTGCAAACCATAGTAATTGATAAAACCATCTCGTTGCCATACTTCAATCGCCTTTTGTACAACCGAATCCAAGGCTTGTACCGACCTAAACGGCAGAAAATACTGAATACGAATAGACAACGCGTTTGTCTTACCTGAGCACCAGGGTGAAACGATTCCCGTCTAAATCACCCAAAAACAAGGGCCTCGGCACGTAGGAGAAATTGCCCAGACGAATACCGCGTAATTTTCGATTCAGTGCACTCAAACGATGCGAATCAATGCTGGATAGGGAATGGGATGAGGTGAACTGACGAGCGCGGAGGCCACAAACCCTTTCAATGTGACAAACTGTGTAGTGATAGCTCGACGATCTTTGGTTCCTGCATAGGCAAATGAACCTGGACGAATGCTGGCAGAGAGAATCAAGGAAGAGAGAAGTATCGGTGTTGAAAAGAAGCAAGCGGTTGAAGACGAATGTCTCGTTCACACACTGCCGACTTACTGCAAGCAGCGGCTGAGCAATTGAATGGCACTGATTGTATCTTTCCCTTCTTTGTACAGAACAAAGCGACAGTAGGCTTGATTTTTAGGTACACGAAACGAGGGGCAACCAGATGCAGCTGGTAATAAAGCATGGGTTGCGTGTGTGTAAAACAGTGAAATGTGACAATTTACCTCGATTCACCGTAATGATCTGATGTGATTCATCCACTCTGACAGTTCGACTATCCAGCTGCGGATAAACAGCGCGAATTGCTTTGTGAATCGCCGTTCGTTCCTCTTTCAGTTCTGGCGCCTGTGGGACAGAATTCAGCGGATTCAGCAATTGGCTTACCTCGATTTTGACCTGCTCGCATTCATGATTCATCAATTTGGTTAGGTCAGCATGGTACGGTTCAAGTATTGCGACAGCGGACTGTGCCTCCGGTTTGGTCTGAACGAAACTGGTCAATTCTGGCTAAATGAACAAACCACCTCGTCTGCACATAAATCTATCGGATCTGTGCTCGTCAGTCGGGCGAGTGATCCATTCGAGATTTCTTGCACAATAAAATCCTCCCATCTGAAACGCACTAAATGGGATTAAAGAAAACTGTTTGTACCGATTTTTCAATGTGCATTTGAAGCCATGAATATTCGGATTGATAAAAGCCGCGATACCCACATCTGATTCCTCTAACCCTTCCGGACTGGTTGAATCACTATCAGAATCTCCGGAGTTTGGCTCCTCGGCGGGTTTAACCACATCATCCGGTAATGCTTCTAAGCAAACACGTTTCGCTGGGAGTGTCATTGGACTGGACTGAAAAGAAACACGAGTAGCAGATGAACGTTTTCCTCCCAGACCCCAGGCCCATAAAATAAACAAATGATTGTATTTGGATGAAGAAAAAGGCAGATCTGTTGCTGGTTGGAAAAAACACGTTCAGCTCCTCTATGTGTGGATCAGGTCAGAAACAAAAACAGGCCCTACTCATTTCAGTATGCGAAAGATACATACATCTGTGTGCAGCTCGAAACAGAAGTACTAACGTGTGGGTTCAGAACCAACATTTCAACCAGGGATAAGAACCCAGAAAGTCACGAAAATCGTCCCAGTTGGATGAATCGTAACGCCAAAAGGTGCGTCTGGAGTCAGATGGTGAAATGGGGTGAAAGAAATGAGGCAGTGGTTCGGTGAGCCTAATGGTGGAAAGAGAAGTGAGTTCAGAGAAAGAAGACGGAATGGATGTGCGAATGATGTTAAGTGTGTGGGCGCGGTCACCAATACGATCAGGGATGCGCGTGTGGAGATCAGTTAGCGGACTCAGGTTGTTGACCACAGCAAAAGCCTCGGCTCGGCTTCCCATGAACGAAGTGTCTGAAGAGTACTTCAGTCATTCTTAGTTGTGAACACTGAAATCTCCGACAATGGTAATTTATCTGTTAAGATCTGTCGCTGTCGGCGTCTCAATGTTGGAAGATAGAATATCTAAACTAGGAGGATAGCCGCTACTCGGAGAGCGATAAACTGTACAAAAATATCGGTCGAAAGAAGAGAACTGAAGTCTCAGCCACATAAGCTGAAATTTACGGTTGGAGAAATCTAGGTGCGAAAGTCGGGAAGAAGTGACAGAATGATGAATATAGGTGTAGACGCCAGCTTTAAGAAGAAAAGAAGAATTGTATTGTATTATGTATAACTTTTGCAAGCCCTGGAGCCCACATTTAAAAATCGTACTCTAACCGTCACAATCTACATAGCAAACTATGAAAACATTTTCATAACCCAAGGTTAAGATAAGGTTCACTTATTGTCCACTCTTTGTTTATGAGTACACGAGAAAGATAATGGTATAGTTGAATTGCGGTAAGCATTAATTCGAGATGAAATTTGGCGGAGTTGGGAGCGTGTTAAATGAGGGGAACGACGTTGTGTCAGTTCTGCGTGGAATGGGTGATCAGGATCTGTGAGAATCTTCTCAGCGAATTTCACACAGGAAGTTATATGATACTCTGAGGGCTTTAAAGCTAACTCATTCACAGGAATAGAAGAGACACGACTAACAATGATTAGACCGCGGCGTAAGACTTTAAATCCCTGTTTGAGTAGGCCAGGAAAAATGACCGGGGCACAGTAGAGTAAGATGGGGAAAACACTGATAAACATAGATAGAAATAACTGACTGGGATGCACGAAACTGCCTGAGCTTTCGGATTTGAAATGATGGGCACCGCAGTTTACCAATGCAGTTGTGGATGTGAGTTGATCAATGAAGATTGCTATCTATAGTTACACCAAGATAATTAACGGAGTTCACCCTGGATAAAGGATTGTTATTAATCACTGTGGGGTTTGTCGGATATGGGGAGCGAGCAAAACTATATAAACACTCAACACATGAAGCCAGAAAGTTGACGTTTTACATTTCACGCCTTCGATATTTGAGGATATCTTTGTATGTCATTTGTAAATTTGTTTTCGCTTACGTTTTATGCCATTAGATCTACCGCTCTCCCATTATCTTCCCTATCTATTGGCTATGGATTTCATATTGATCAGACGGTCTCTGAAAGGTATTTCTAGATATGGGACTGTCTCTTATGTGGCGCAGGTCGACTCCATTGTCAACCAACATTTTAAGGCGTGTAACCGTTAGTGTGACTCAAGGTTGTTTGATGCATCACAACCTTTACACTCAACCCTCTCTTGCTCCATTTTCACTCCCGTCACCCACAGTAAATTTAAACTTTTATACATTCGCATCACAGCTTTTCACAATTCCATTGTCTTTATCTTTCTGGTTTATCGATTTCCAGGGAATGAATATCAAACGAACACACAATCTCATGTAAATCTTCATGCAGCAATTTTCTACGTTTGCTACGCGATCCCGCTCCTCATCAATATGATCTATTTACTAAACGTAATATCTTTAAATCCATTTCAATAATAATGACATCATTCCTAAAACTGGGCAGCCAGAACACAGACAATTTGCTTATCATATATGTCCTACCTTAGATGTCCTTAAGCAATTGGTAACCTCAGTTTTGCAATCACTAAACAGGCATAGTACAGCATTTCGTGTTTCCTTGACTACTTGTCTCTTATCTCTACCCCATGGTGCTGGATTGTCCATTACTACCCTGCCTCTACTCCAACATTATTTTACTAGTAAAACACACTTTCGGAAGTTTCTTGGAAAAACTTTTGTTGCGATACCGATCAATTCATGGGCGCTCCAGGAAGCAATAGAGTCCTCTTTTCTTTTCTCTTTCCATAATCCAGACCTATCCACCGACCCGGATAGTCTTCTTATCAAGTATGCTGATAATGTCACCATGGGTTCCGAATTCCAAGGTGATTTCCTTTTTTAAAGGTTTCAAACTAATTTTGCTACCTTAAGCTTACGGTCGTCGTATTCCAAATTATCTATTAACGAGTGGTAGTGTTGGTGTGTTCTCTGACCGCCACTTACGTAACTAGGTGTCGTTCCAAACTTGAGAATACTCGCACTGTTGCCCGTTATTCCACATTTTTCGAGGTTTCTGGCCCACAAAGCATCAGTCAAAGACAACTTCTTGGAAATCTTAGGTGGATAACATCCATTTTCACATTTTACACCACCTTTCTCTTGAATTAACGACACTGTATTTTACTTTTTCTCTGTGACTGTGTACGATGATGACCTTGGTGTGCAAGGGACTGAAAGTTCATTCATTAGGATGAATAAAGCAACTTGTGACTTGACTTGTTACTTGAAAAATGTTCATAGCATGTATGCCAACGCGAGAGTGATAACATGTTTCACTGAAAATTCTGTCCACAATGGATGAATAAAGTGTACTTTGACTCGACAATCAACAATCTTCTTTGAAACTCTCCGAAGAGTAACTGACCTGGCCCGAGTTAAGGAGTGATAAACAAAACCGGTGCGGACGCGACAATCTGTGAATTAGATGAAATACTAATCAAACATGTTCATTATCTCCATCATTTGATTTGCAAAAATAATTAATTCAAATTCCAGTTAAACTGATTACCCGATAATTGGAATTGTGAACGATATAACACCACCACGGGATATTAAAGATGTCGTACTGAACTGGAGAACAACACGTGTGCCGATCCACGAAGCTGTGTGGCGATTGTGGGGGTTGAAAACCTTGGGCCCCACGTAGCGGGTTGCATGGTTTACTGACCACCGCAGTTTTCCTGTTTCTTAATCAGTTTGGAATAAGACTGCACCTTGATTTGGTGTGATGGCTTGTGCATCTCTCTGACCCAACTAGCTACACAGGATGGCTTTTGCCAAGCCGAAGATTTAATCACACCTGGAATGTCGTAGGGTAGAGGTCAGACAAAGTCCAGTCTCCTGGTCCTCCAGGTTGGGAGTTCGACTTGAGTCAGCGTCTCAGTCGGTCAAACGTGTTAGAGGAATAATTGATCCAAGTTAATGGGCCTCCAATCCGCCTTAGCCGATGCCTTACGGCTAGGTTCTTATCAGAACTAAAGGCTTTGGCTGAGAACCCTAATCGTTCTTATGCTTAGTGGCTGGACGCCCTAGCAGTACCCGTCCATCAAACCCCAATGAATATGCATTGCGAGTTTGGCAGCGGTTAGTGAAGTTCGATTTCCTGTATTCCGCTGTACGATTATGATGATGAAAAGTAGGACAAGCGATGGGACAAACTGATAAATTGTTTATCACTTCTCTACACTAACCACTAGCTTTTGCCATCAACCCCTTCCACTCACTCCGCATTTGTCTGAGATATAGCAGTTTTCCAGACAGATTCATCTCATGAAATTACGACAAGGCGGGAGTGAAATAAACCGTGGCTTGGACCAAACAGAGCTGAATTGTATATCAGAATATATGGGTTGCAGAGTTGTCACATGATTGAATTTAGCAGATAGGTTGATAGGGTGGATACAGAAAGTGGTATTGTACAAAAATTGGGCTTTGGAAGCGATGTAACTAAGGCATCCAAAGTTTATCCAGTGCGCTTCGACATAGGAGCTTTGAGTACATATCACTGGGTGGGAGTAAACGAAATGGCACCAAAACCTCAGTCGACCTTCAAACTGAGGAACTGCATCGTGGTTTTCCACAAACCATGCTGCTTCTCTACATCTTGCATGATGGATGGCCAAGGAATAGGAACACAGCCGCTATAGAGTAAACCACTACCGGAGAGATCTGTAATCGATGCAGTCGAACCAATCAAGTGTGCCATAGGGACAGCATCACTAATAGCACAATGCAGGATACCCTGACAGCCTTCTGCAGGCGACTTTAAAAGTAGGCGGGAAATCAAACGAAGAATTGGTTGAAGCAGAGTCGGATACTTGGAAATAATTTCACGACTAAGATTTGTATGAACCATTCCACCAATGAACAAACAATAAACGTTCAATTTCTTTTCTTCGCCACTACCGAAACAACGATGAAGTTCGCGAGCATAGAAACAGACTGCCAGTTTTGAGTTCGCGTACGCCTGTGAGGAATTCCATTCTGTGCGAGAAGTCTCAGCATTCAACAGTTCATCAACACTTCCTTTTTTGGCAAGTGAAGAGCTAACAAAAATAATTCTTGGGTAGTGAGATTTCTCTTCCATCACTTTCAGTTTAGGAATCATCAGCTGAGTTAGGTAGAACGGTCCCAAATAATTGGTAACTGTGTCAACATTGAGACCACCGAAAGCGTTCACTGGGCGCGGATCGCGTGCCATCACTCCTGCATTATTGATCAAGACATCGATCTCGTGCTGGAAGGAGTTAGCGAAACGTAAGATTGAACTGGGCTCAACTAGATCGAGGTGTTTCGCTTCCAACTTATCGTTTCCTGTCTTCGCAATAATTTCTTCGATTAACTGTTTGGCAGCATTGAGATTTCTGTGGATAGTTTAATAGGATACTTTGTTCGGTAAAGCAGAACAACAACAAACCTGCAACCCAATGTTAATCTCCAATTATGCCGGGCCAATTCAAAAGCAGTGGCACGACCAAGGCCAGAAGTTGCACCCGTAATCACAGCATGTCGTGATACACGAGAAACACAGGTGCATGAAACGGGTCGGCGATAAAACCAACGAAGCATCACTAAGTAGACAGATCCTGCACCAATAACAGTAAAACAGATAATTGGCCAAGGAAGCATGAGAGATGTGTATGTCCGCAGATTCAGTCCGCTATATCGTGCGAATTGACTGCCGCAAATAATACTCCACTTATATCATCGCATTCAAAAAGCTGAAGAAAAACAAAACGGCACCGAATAGAGTGTGAAGATTTCTCTGTTATAAATGCCCTCAAAGAAATAAGCTGAGGAATGTGCGCGTAAACATGAAGTCGGAGGGACGGCAAATCCCAATCAATAAGACTTAGTTCACATCAATACACATCCGTGCCAGGTTTAAAATAAATAAATAAACACGAAAATTGGCATATGAAACCTTGAATTGAAACAGTTCGTGGTTTTAGATTTGCTCTCACATGTCTGTCGGTCTCTATAAAACCGGATAAATGATTTTTGGACTCCAGGTGACTCCAGGAGATAAGAGAAACTTGGATCATTCGTTGATTACCTGGCTTCCTCCAGCTTGGAGCAACAATTACAAACAGGGCACGATATGACAGATGATTGTCAGCACGCGTCCTAACAAACAAAAGAGACTCACTAATTCATGCTGATGACGTGTCTTCAAAAATGAACTGGTACGAAGTTCGGCCCCGACTCTAAGGGAGCTAGTGTGTGTCATTCTGTATCAGCCACACACAACCAGTACTTATTGACTGTGTCAATCACTCCCACTAGACTGCCCTAAGAATATTTCACTGTTATTTGTTGTATGTATTTCACGGTGCACAGGTGCACACGCACGTGCACAGATTGGATGTGGACTGTGTGTGCACCAGGGCTGCATAGCGATCTACGCTAATAACCTGTAACGTTTACCCCGGGGTCTGCGATGGGGAAACCGAGGAATCTATTACGGCCATTCAAAAATATTACAAAGGTGTGGTCCCAGTGATGGTGATGCACTGCTATACGTTGTACACATGCATTAGGCTTCATCCTTTTTGGCAACCTCTTCGCTTGCTATGCCATTCTCTTCTCCAACTTTAGCCTAATTTTTGCCTCGCTATGGTTCCACATAAAAATCCCCTAGTGGCTGATAATGAGTACAGTGAAGCATGCCTTTATATACCAGAAACAGATTACTGACCCGTTAAGTGTGCTTTGCGTGCTCCTCTTACACCCTAAAAGGCACGCAATGTCATCAGCGTGTTCTAAATCACGCAACTATTCTCTGACTATTCATTCGATAGCGTTTCGGAGACCACTGAGGGCGTTCAGAAATATTTCATTTAAAAGGACAGAAATGGAGAAGTAGCACACTCCTGACCAACAGCATCAAACGATAAACGAACTGTTTTAGTCGCTACAATATATATATATATATATATAGCAAGTGTGGTGCCAACACAGAAAACGGTGCGATTGAGACACAGAACAGAACAATATGGAAAAGTAAAAATTGCAAAAGATTAGGAGATCAAGAATAACAATATATTCTTGTTTGCTTTACCGTACACTTTTTGATGTATTTCTGTGTTAGTTTATTGCTTTTACGGGACAAGGGATTCCAACAGGGTAGATTGAAAAGCGCCGACTTCTATTCTGGGCGACATCTCTCAAACAATGACAATACTCATCCCTCGAGCCCCAAACCACCAATGGAAGAAAACTTCTTCGATACCCAAAACGTCACGTCATGGTTTGGCCGCTGTGACGTTTCTTCCAACCTTGTCTAGCACACCCAAACGGAACGCAGAAAGTTAGGCGATGAGCAGGCATATGCAAAACGTGAAGGAGTCATTGGAAGCGGTGTAGAGAGATTACTTGCTAGAACGAAAAACCTCGTCATTGTTCACCCGATGTTTCCACCGGACACGAGCAACATTTCAAGTACGCCGGGGGTTGATTGATTTGATTATCATCCTCAGTGCTGAGGCTCAAGGTCTCGCAACTGTGAAGCAGAACACTGTTGTAGATTTATTAGTCCTTTCTGTTGTATAGATTGCTGTTACTCTGAGCGCATATTCTAACATTTCGCTTGTCCCGTTTTAGCTCTCATGTCTCTTTTTTGGTCGACTACAGCCTATCATTAAGGCGTTGTCTTCTGGCTTGTCTGCCGACCAAACGTGTGATTTGATACACCACAAGTTCTCATCAATCATATAGTCAACGCCGTGATAATTTAATCGACCAATTACAATGGACCGACATCTACGCCCGGATCGTTTCGACACTGATCCAAATTCCCCAAATGGTGCCGATTCCTGGGAACACTCGTATTATACGTTCACTAATTTCCTACGACTTGTGGAAGAGTACAAAACAGACAAACTCAAGACCCTCATGCACTTTTTGTCGCCTACTGTCTACAAATTCGTTTTACGATGCACTGATTATGACTCTGCCATTACTACGCTTCAATTCCGATACGTGCAAACAAAGAACGAGATTTTCGGGCGTCATCTTCTGGCGAACACGAAGCAGAGTACTATTGAAACTCCAGATCAATCCATACAGAAGCTCAGAAACCTTGCTCGAGACTGCAATTTTAAAGCAGTCAGCTCAAAACAAAACGAGGACGCCAAACGTGACGCGTTTATCAGCGGGCTATTATTAAACCCCATCCGCCAGCGGGCACTTGAAAATAAAACACTCGATGTGAGTACCGCTTATGACCAAAGCAAAGCGCTCGATGTAGCTCAACAGCGGTCCCAAACATTCACCCAAGCCACTCCTTCAATTTACGTTACCGCTGCAAACGCCCTAGATCAGACACCCGAGACGACGCTGGCTGCGTCCCGAACAAGCTGCTTCTTTTGTGGCTATGATCGACATCCTCGTCACAAGTGTCCTGCGAAAGATGCAACTTGCAAGTCATGTGGCAACCGCGGACACTTAGAAAGTTTGCCGGGCTCCTGCCAACTCAAAGCATACCGCAACTACCTCACCATTCCTTGTCTCCTCCATCACTGCAGCCGCAGCCCCTACGAGTCTCGTCGTGATGGAATCGATACATACTTCTCCGGTACTCGTCCTCAACGAACAGTTCCATACTGCGGTCCTATCGACAGCCTCCAAAAGCCTCAGTATGGTCGGGGGTGGGTGTATGGAAGTTGCGGCTGGTCACTCTTCCCTTGCACCTCGCGAAATGCTCCCGTACGACCAAGCGTCTCAAATAGCCTCTGCTGAGAAAGTCCTACTCACAGCCTTATTGTGGCGGAGGTGTTTTCTCACCACAGTGAGAGGACGAAAAGCCAACATCTACGGCTATAACCTATGACTCGATGAACTGGACACCGGCTCCCAATGGATTGCGGTTTTCACACACTGCCACGCTAACTTGCAGGTCACGCTTTGGTTAGCCAAAGGCTCCGATTGTGGATTCCTCATGATAATTCACCTGCCTGGCAGTATTTGGCCCTCATGCAAATCGTGGAACGCTTTTCTTTTTTATACAGATTATTGTACGATTTGTTTGGTATACAGTCTGGCCTCAAACGTGTGTGAAATATATATATATATATATACCTATCGACAGATTCGAAGGCCGCACAGATGTCAAAGAACACCATGACGGTCTTTGGTAGGTACGGCGGTGCTCTAGCAGCTGTCGTAGGGTGGAGATTTGATCGATGTATCCATGAGAAACCCAGCCTACTCCTCGCGGGTCTGTTCTTCACGTATATTGAAAAACCAGCGGAGAATGACGGGCGGCAACAAATGTGACGCTATTGGGACCAGGTTTACACCTCCATAATTAACGCGGTCACTGTGCGGGCCCTTTTCAAAGATAGGGACCGCGATCAATTGCCCCAACGAGGAGTGAACCTGCTCAGCGCTCCAAACTTAAGGGAACAGATCGACTATATCTCCAATAGGCTTTATCATACCATCTTCAAACGATGCTTTTTACTCAATTACAGACCTGCAGGACCCTTTGTGTCTACGAAACGCTGCGCAAACGCTCCAACGTGCCACAGTTCACTGCCAATATTCTACAGGTTGCCGACATAAACAATGTTGCTACCGATGCTCTCTGGAGTATGGCAGTAGCTACCGATAGTGTGATCGATTTGACACGTATGGCATAACTGCAAACTTCCGACTCATATTTGCAAAACGCCTTGAAGGAATCTCTGAACCTTCAGCATTTGCCACTTACCGCTTCCGAGAGCACGATCTGGTGTGACGTTTCATGTACACCACTTCGTCTTTGGGTACCCGTTCAGATGCGCAGAGTAGTCTTCGACACAATACAGAACCTGTCTCAACCCGGCATTAGTCAGTTTGGTATTAGTCAGCCAACGTTTCGTCTGGCAATTTATGTACAAAGATGAGCGTAGTTGGACACGTTTGTTTTTGAAATGCCATAAATCCAAGGTAACTCGATATACCAGTAGTCCTCTAGTTACCTTTGATGCCAGGCTCCGTGAAGCACACCTGAATATAGTTGGACCGTTTCGGCTAGCGCAAGGTTTTATATACGTTATAACCTGAACGTTTCCACCGGCAATTACAAGTTGTACTTAGTGCGCATTCCGTTATTTCATAAACGGAGGTGTTTCTAACGATCCAACTTGGCGTAAGAAACGCCGTTAAAGACGATATAAAGTGTATAGCGGTTGAACTAATAAATAAGACTACATTCCGTCTTCCCGGACAATGTACTTTGCCGCATAAATCTTTACTTACGTCCAACGGCTTACTCTAACCAACCGGTCAGAGTCTTCTGGAACGCAACATAGAACACGGGAGGAACCTACTCAACCTAATCGGTCTCTGCATTTCTTGTCTCGTTCCACGCCATTCGATGACCTCTACGTGGTTTCTTCCAACCTGGAGACGCAACTGCGAATAAGGTGCAATGAGATAGAGACAACTGGGCAATACACGTCTTGACCAGCGAAGCCGACTAATCTAAATCCGATGGGACAACGAATTCTCCATCGAGTCATTATCAAATACACGACGCCTCATCTCAGAGTTGCTTACACGCTTGCTCCATCCAACGAGTGCCA